TGTTAGATGCAGTATTTTCTCTGTATGAGATTATTTTCTTAGATTTCTAATTTTCAGAATCATCCTGACACATTCTCACATTTGACAGGATTGAGTTATATGATACATTATCCTTTTTTAAAAAAAGGATTAATGCCAAACGCCTTTATGAACACCAGTGATTATATCACAGAATTATTAATTAATTTTAGTTTTTCACTTACAGAGTAAGTTCATTGGATTTTACCAAGTGGCGTATGAATTAATTTAATGAAATATGTTTTTGTTAGGTACCATCAAGTTGATTCTTACTCACAGCAACCCTATGCACAACAGAACAAAACACTGCCCGGTCTTTTGCCATCCTCACAGTTGTTGCTGTTTGAGCCCGTTGGTGTAGCCCCTGTGTCAATCAATCTGGTTGAAATATAGGGACTATCACTACAGCTAACTTTTCATTATGTTCTTCTTCTTCTTCTTTTTTTTTTTTTTTCTGTTTCTTGAAGCACATGTCCCTGTTTATCCCCAAGCTAAGAAAATTTCTGTCCTCTTAAATTTAGCCTTTATGGGCATGCTACAAATATTCTACTTGTTATGTTTTTCAGACCTATTGTAGTAGAGCCAATTTTTTCTCTACTTCTCACCTGCTTCTGTCTATTTATTTGTGTATATGATGTCAAAGGAAAATGAAAAGTAACACCTCAAAATACCACCTTGAAAAAGAAAATGCCAACAACTTCTTTTCTGCACCTGAAGTTTTTAATTCTTTAATCCACCATGGAATGTAGCTTAATTACATATTTTATTATGCATAACTGAAAATTATGTACTTTAGTTCCAACAATGGTATGAAAGCACGTATTGTTTATAAATAAAGAGAGGCTGGTTTGTCTCTATTTTTTTATGCTACAAATATTTATGAAATTCTCACAGGTTCTCCTAAAAGTTGGCTTTTTAAATATTTGCAGAGAGCTCCCCAAAACACTTCCTTCTGACTTTTAATATCTCTTTAGAAATCAGAAAATTCTTTACTTTGCAGAAAAAAGGAGGATGATGTCATAACATCATAATGGGAAAAAGTCCTTGAGCAAGTGAGTATATTTTGGTTGAAGTTCCATCTGAGTTTTAATATTTCACAAAGCATTTATTAATGAAAAGCATTCCAATTGCTGAAGCTGGGTGATGAGTAGGTGAGTATTCTCTTTTTCTGTACTCTTTCTGTACTCTTTTTGTGGGCTTGTAAATTTCCGTAATAAAGCACTTGTTAAAAGTGTTTGTTGTTACAGATCTTATACTGGATGTCAGAGTTTTGGGGTTAATATTTCATGATAAAATATTCCATACACTTGATTTCAATTACTTTGTGATGGGCTTTCTTGTATTAGCAAGTCACATATTATATTTGATATCTGAACTTTTTGAATTGCAATTAATTTTTCCCCTTAATTTTCTGCATGTAAGGAAGGCTTCATTAAGGAGAAAAGAGAGCATTTGAAAATAGAAGACTTTGGTTTGAGCCCAATGTGGCCATTTAACATCCGAACAAATCGATTCACGTCTTTGAGGTTCCCTTTCCTTGCTTTTGAAGTGAGGAATTTCAGTGTCTGCCTTAAATGCTTCACAGTGGAACTGAGAAGTTTAAAATAAGATACTGTTTGTAAAATAAAGTTTTCTACAAAGATTGTTGTTACTATCATTTTAAACAGGTTTGAAGGTGATGCTGAGAAGGGGGAGGTGTTGCCTCAGGAAGACATGAAACCTTTGCAGTTCTACCAGGTCTGGCCTACATTAATTAATTAATTTAATTTAAATTCGAAGCAAAGGTGAAGTGGGTGAAACCTGCCCCCATGTTAAGAAAGATGTTGTTCTACAAATCTGTGCTCATTTCGCATCATATTGCCACAGATTCAGTGAGTTAATGGATACATTTGAGTTGACGAACCTTCTCATCTAATAGGCAGTTATTTTGTGTGAGTGGAAAATCAAGGCAGCGCATGGGACATTTCCTTTTTGGAGGGTGCGATAAGGATATGAAGGCTCAATAGTTAAAGCGATCAGTTGCTAACCAAAGGTCAGTGGTTAGAACCTACCAGCTGCTCCACAGGAGAAAAATGTGGCCTCTGCTCCTATAGAGATTACAGCTTGGAAACCCTATGGGGCAGTTCTAGTAGGTGGTACTGTGTCACTATGAGTTGAAATTGACTAGTCAGCAATGGTTTTTGGTTTTTCAAGGGTATAAATGAAAGGATTTGTATTGGAGATGTCTTCTTTGGGCACCATAAAAACCAAGTATTTCTCACTCAACTAAGGGTAAATAATGTTCAACATTTAACTTGGTGCAAAGTATGACACTTTAGAGTTTTATGCAAGTGTTAACACACAAAACATACTCCTCTACTGGAGTCCCTTTCACCACCTCATCAACCATTCTCATAGACAACAAGGCCCAAGTTATGTGGTTTTGGTCGCAGTTGGAGCAGCTGAAAATAACTGACGGAGAAAGGTGACTTAACACACAAACTTGGTACCTAATTTTAGTGTTCTTTTAATAAAATTAAATTTGAAAATATGTGAGATTCACCTAAGGAGAGTAAGGTAAGAAAGGCTGAAAAATGTTGCTCATCTTTCAAGTGTTAATTCCAAACTATTTTTATTTAACATTTGGTATTGTTAAACAAATATTCTAGACAAAAATCTTCCACCATATTTCTGAAAGGGGTACTTTATATCAAAATTGTGGATGTTAATAAGATTATAGTTTATCAGAAGACATGCAAGTATTCAGTAATTACATTAAAAGGACTGCCTCAGAAGAAAGAGTCCATAGTTTTTCTCTTTAAAATGTCAAAAATATTTATTTGTAAGGTATAGTATCAATATTTTCCTGTTTTAGGTATGGTTAATGTTTTTGGACCTCTGTTGGTTTCCACTCTATCATGCAAATTTCTGGCTTGCTTTAATAGTCCTGTTTCCAGCAGCTACATAACATTGTATACACATTTTAATCGCTCTTTTTGAAAATATCACCAAGCAGTTCAGAATACCTCATTTATTGAGAATATTACTGTGTGACAATCAAGGACCTAAATATCAGCCAGATGTTGTTAACAACAGGGAATAGGGCAGAATCAAATAATGGGATGTATAGGATTTGCACTTTTACTCAATCTTGAACCATTTGAAAATGTCTTCTATCCAAGCTATGGTATTTTAGATAAGCACAGTTAGATATAGATATCATTAGTTGGGAAAAACAAAAACACCTTTTTAGGCTTATAATTCCTTACAACTACATGTTAATCAATACACATTTTATACATAATATGTACAGCCTTTGTAACCAAGTGCCACACAACTAGGGCACACATATTAAGTTACTTGGTTTTCAAAGAAGGTTATGTGTCAACTCTGCATACTGTGTGCCAAGGAGATACTATCAACATTATTTTTGCATAATGTGCAAGTATTATATGGCCACAGAGTGTAATACAAATTAGTGGCAAAGTGCTGAGTGAAGGAATCCATGACAGATTCAGATGCACAAGGTTGAATATTACCCGTAAACTACCTGACTCTGCCTAAGGTCTTAACAGCACAAAGCGCTATGTCATGCCCAGCTTTTAAAGGTATCTGAAATACTTGGACACAATGAAGCTCGTTAAAAGGAGTTTCACTAAAGCCACTGGCAACAAGAAGAGGATTGGCAAGAAGGGTAAATGACACTGGGGTAGCAAGGAGGAAGATCAGGGGACTAGTCTTTTCTGAAATGTGCCACCTTCCCTGAACGCAATTTTTACTTACTCCATCATGACTATCATTATTTATTAACATGTGCTTTTTTGTTTTGTTTTTGGTTTAAATTATCAAATTAGTAAAACTATACTTACTTAAAAAATTATCTAAGGAGAATTTCTTTAGCATTGTTAATTTCTAACATACAATTAATTCATTAAAAAAGTTAGTTCAAAGGTTAGGAATTTTGGGGAAAGGCAACCCAATTCCTCCCTCCAACATTTTTTTTAAACCATATGTCACATTTAACACCATAAATGTTGGGCTGATTTAAAAAAAAAAAAAAAAATCAATTCTACTCTCTGTTCTAGCCTTTTCCCTTAAAAAGAAAGAAGATACTTTCTTATTAACTTCACGGCATAATAGTTTCTATTTTAATTACTACAAGAAATCTAGCTTCTATTTTCTTAAATTCCTTTTGATCAAATGATTAGTTCTCTGAACTCTAGTGAGCAAGAATGTTTAACAGTTATTTTCTCATGTAACAATATGAACTGAAATCTTTTTCAATACAATTTTAAGTTTGCAGCAAACTAGCTGCCTTCAGAGCAGCTCAGCTGGGCTTCAGAAGTAAATGGTACTTTAAAGTTGAACTGGGAGTTTTTGATGCTCCCAATTCACTTTCTTAAGCAAAAGTTCAACATTCAAGCAGTCAAGTTACGTACTAATGAGACCTTCAGGGCCTGGGGAAATGGTAGGCAGAAAGAAAACTGATGATTGTGTAACACCTCATCTCTAGGAACCCATATACCCCTATTAACAACATCCAGGGAACCTTAAAAAGAAACAGCAAAGATAAAGTGAATAAAACACAACGAAACCCAAGAAACAAACAAACAAACAAACAAAATCCTGTAACACTGGTCTCAATCCTTTCTGTGAGTTAGCACACCTAATTTTGTATCTTGGAGTTTACTCAAAAGTTCTTTGTTGCAAAATTAGCTATTACCTTTTGAACAAAAACTGTGTTTAAATTCCAGGTGTATCATACTTACATTCTTCATATAGTTCTTACAGTTATGACAAACACAACCAAATGAGCTCAGAATTACTGAAGTCCACTTATAACTTGCAAACAAAAAAAACAGTTTGCTAAAAGGTTTTTTATACAGGAGATTTTTTTTTTCCTACTTATTTCATGTTTCTATGAATGGCCTTTAAAAATATTTGTACATTAGCTTAAGGAAAAGTACTGCCACAATTGAGGTATTAAAATAATAGCCAGTGTATCTATTCTAAATGCATCACTGCCAGACTGGAGTTTTGTTTTCTGTTGGACAGTCGTTTGACCATCCTGCTGTCTCTGTTTATTAAGCAAAATGTCAAGCAAAACCAAATTATCATCTTCATCGTTAAATTTAAAAAATGAGTGTGTTTTTGACTTAAATTTATAGGGTTTCAAGGTGACTTTTCCACTTCTCTTTTAAAAATCAATGAAATATCATCAAAAAATATTAACACGCACTTAAAGGAGAAGGCCGTCATATGACTCTTTCTTTACGTTACTTCACATAAGCAGACAAACCCTACCATGTCATACCATACAAACATGTTTAATTGTGTAGTTACAGTCAATAACCACTCCTAATCAGAACATTTCTGCATAAAGAAAACTGTGATACACTTATAAAAACAGCCAGCTGTAACAAAATAGCTGGTGTTTTCATAGTCATAAACTCATAAAAAAGAAATACACCTTTATACAGAAATTTTATACAGATGTAGCTTTAAAATTGATTGTAAACCAAAGGAAGACACATTGCAAACATCAATTATTTTCACATTAATTGCATAATTTTCTAAGGTGATCTATTAGTTTTATTTACCTAAGCTTATTTGCATGATAGTAAAAATTGCATACAACAATAAGAGTGAAGCTTATAGTATGAATTGCTTGGATAACATAGAGCACTTTTTATAGGCAACTGTGTAAAGCACATTTTCTCTATTTAAAACTTTTAAGACACTTTGTTTTACTGCCCATCAAAATACATTTATAAATAGAAAAAACAAATCAGTATGGTAACAAGAGAAGCAATATTACATTTAACGGAAACATCAAAAAAATTAATTACAACCTGATGCTGCAGGATCTACAAATAAATAAATGAGGACTAAATTGTGTTTCACATTTTCATTTCATTTTTTTAAAAAATCATGTAACAATGAGAATGAAAAAAAAAATTACAGTGAACTTTTATTTCCAAAAGAAAAACAAATTTGAATTACGGCAGTGCCATACAATACAAGGCATTTGTTGGCATATGTCATCTTTAAACTGCATTCCACAGTCTATAGTTCTTTTGTAACATACAGTTAAGAGTAACAAACTCTTTTTTTCCTTTTTTTTTTTTTTTTTAAATAAGGGGCGCGTTTCCAAAGATCAGTGTGGAGTGTTACAGAAATAATTAAAGAAAAGGAAATAATAACAACAGAAGTTATAATGCTTGTTTGAAGGCTCCAGAATTTAAAAAAAAAAAAAAATCACTAGGATCATGCTTACAGGGTACACACCTCGGTGCCTCCCATGAACACGAATTTTAATACCAAACAATCCTAGATGCTTCACCTGGGGCTGCCAAGCAGTTTGTAAAACAGAGAAAAACATTTAGTGCAGTCTGTATAATCCTTTCCCAACGTTCCTGTTTGTGCAAGTTTCTGAAGATTCATTGGTCAAACAATGAACAACAAAGATTTTCGGAGAGAATACAAGGTGGCCTTTTCACTTTGTTAGTAAATACCAGTGGCACTGTTAAATGAAAATAATACTTTTATCTCAGTCTTTCAAGTCAGCATTAATATCTGTGTTCCCCTCCACTGACAGCTCTTCTTCTAGTTTCACTGAAAAAAGGGTGTTGGCATTTTTATCTTGGACACTCTCTTCTAAATCCTTAAGCAGCTCCTCTTCTTTATATTCGGCAACATCCACCTCTAAACCGGAATTGTCCTTCAGTTTCCCATGGTGCTTGAGATAATATCGCTGGTTCTGAAAGAACTTGATGATGGTATACTTGGGAAGGTCAAGTTGGGCGGACAGAGTCTGGATGGCCTCTTCATCTGGATACAGGCCTACATCTTGTATGAAACTCTGGAGGATGCCCAGGGCTTCCACTGAAATTTTTGTTCGTGGCCGGGTCTTCTGCCGATTCTCTTCCTCGGACTCAGCAGGCGAGGCCACGGTGGGTTGCCGAGGTGGGAGCCGAGGGCCAGCCTGCTGCTGCTGGGGCTGGGGCTGGGGAGGGGGTGGGGCCTGCTGCTGCTGCTGCTGCTGCTGCTGTTGCTGCTGCTGCTGCTGCTAAAAAGAAATCAGGAGACAATCAGGGCTCTGCTTTCTCATAGTTTTCAACTGAGCCATCTCGGATTAGAAAACATGGTGTTACGAAACCCATAAATAGCTTCTTTTATAAGGACAAAGATTCAGAATGACATGGGAGGCAGCTAAATGGTACAAAGCATTAAAAAAAATGTATTTAAAATTATAGGAACTACAAAGGTATGAATGAATATGCCTTCTTTTTTCCTGGGGAGGGAAGGAGGGGGACCTCCTGGGTCTATTCACCAGAGCTCAGTGGAGCCACCCCAGCTTGGATTCTGAGTCTGGCTCATGCAAGTGAAAACCCAGCACTCTGAAAATGTGAGCCATGTACTTCATCAGATGGGTATGCATCAAAAGTAAAGACAGCAAAGCAAATTATGATGTAAATAATTAACAAAGGTTTAAAATGAAGATCGAGAAGTCAGGATTTCAAAGACACTTTAGCAAGGTGAGCAGCAGATCCATCAGGAAACAGATTTGTGTTTTGCCCCATTTCATCTGAAGGCTAAAACATGGGGCAAGAATAGAAAGTCATATTTAAATTCTAAATAAAAGGGATAAGCGTCTGCTCTTATTCAGCATTTTCTGAGTCCAAAGGATTTTTGAGATGCTCAAGTTGGTGAATTTCCTAGCATACAGTTCCAAATTAATACACACACAAGTTCTTACCAAAATGCACTCAGCTGACACTGCAAGTTTTTTTCTTACTGAAAAATAACGGTTCAACCCATTGCCAATGGCTAGCGAATTGTTTTATCTATAGTAACCTTAGATGTGATTAGGATTTAAATTTAGTATATACAGATACTTTTTCATGATTAGTATCTGTATATGTGCTATAATTTCTATACACAATTATACATAACACATGTGACACATACACATACCGTACACTCTAAATACCACATTCTTATCAGCAAAGCAACACAACCTAAGTGGCAAAAATATTAGAACGTTTGTACTGTGCCTAAGCATTTCCTTTAATCCCCCTAAGAAGTGATTTTATTAAAAACAATTTACATTTTCAAACAAGTACTGTTTTTATTACTTAACATGTATCTTTCTCTTTTTTGTTTTTTGTTAAATAGTAAGTTTTACAGGCTTTCATGATTATTTTAGTGCTTGACATCCTAAGGGATTCTCTTTTTCAATTGGCTTTATCTTTAATACACACTCAAGAATTTTATTTTATTTTTCTGGTGGATGGTAACTATTACTGCATTTTATACATATACATATATATACATTTATTTTTTTCCCCACAGCAGTATCAAGAAATAATGTAGGTGATGCAAAAAAGATAATGAAATTTTAGGATTCTGGAAGACTATGGCATTTTCCCCTAAAGAAGAAAGCTAAAAATATTCCCTAACAGAAATAAGTTACATAGTTCAAGTTCAATTACAATATACCTCCTAAGCAAGCAAGACCATAAGAGCACCAACAAACTACCTGATCCCACAAGTTTCTAATCTAAATCTACTGGAGAGTCCCTTGGTAGATGAGCGGAGACATATCCCGTGACAAGCTAAGCATAAAGTAGAAATTATTGACACAATGGTCTTTGGCCACAGCCATAGTCAGCATGTCCTTTCCAAGTCTGTAAATCCTGACCAAGGGAGCAGAGCAGGTCTTTAAGCCACCCCCTCAGTCTCCCTTTCTTCCTGGTGTAGGAAACTTGTGCCCGCTCACCTGAGGAGCAGCACTGAGCCACAGTGCAGGGGTCGGCAGGCCTGGTAAGAAAACGCCTCTAGACTCTCCTTTCCCAAGGGTGGTGGGAGAGGGGCTCTAAAGGAAAGACAAACAGACATGACTCACCCCTAACCTGTGTTCTGTGAGGGTGTGGGGTGACAGTGACAAATTGAAAGAATGAACATCAGGAAATAAGATTCCAAGTAGATTTCCCTCCCCTCCTCTTTTTGGATAGAAAATGTGATTCTACAAAATTCCTCTAAAGAAACAGATTCCTTTCTTTAGGGGCAGTATGGTGTTAACTAAAAAACTAGATTGTGTTTTAAATTCTGATTTTCAATAACACAAAAATTTTAAGCTCTTACACCTAAAACAATCCCATACTAACAAAGACACACTTGCCAAACAAGAAGTGTAACAAGGGGTATCCTGTCACTTTGTGGGTGGGGAAATGAGGGGAGAGGAACTCATCTCTCAAGACACACATTAAAAAGTAGTGTGTTAATTTTCCTTCTATACTCCTGAGAAAGATGGCAGCGTATTGTTGTCTTTTGATAAAAAGCTTCTTTTTGTTTAGACTGGCAGGAAGAAGAGAAACGCTGATTTTCCTGCTAAGTTTAAAGCTTTATTCACTTAGCACTATATTGAATTGGCCAAGGTGAACGAACCTGAATCTGCTCTGCTGGAACATGGATGATGTGGGGTGGCCTGTCGCCATGGTGATGCACTGCATTGCTCTCCTGTTCATAAATGGCATCACGCTCTGGCTGAGGAAGACTGAGGAACCTTCGGATCATGGAGAGGTTCTCCCATAGGGTCCTGTTTTCCGGAGAAGGATCTTCCTTCCAGCGTAACAGCTCACACAACCATCCCTAAGAGACAAGGGCAAAACAGGTCAGCTCATGCCTATGAGGGATGGGGACTGACATTTTCCAGTAAGAGCTGAAAGGGAAAGACTCTATGAACATTTTCATAAGCTCAAAACACTCTGGTCTGCTTACCTGGCTGCCAAGAAGGCAGAGTCTGTTTCTATTAAATGTTCATATTCGTATCTTAAACGAGGGGCATTATTTTGCAGACTCCAAGGACAAGAGAATATTTATCACAGACTTTGGATGATGTGGAACGGGAAGAAAGAAAGCAAATTGGACGGTGTCTCCTGGTCTTTGCTGATGAGCATCTGAGGATGCTGAAGATATTTTAAAAAGAATGGGGCAGATTTTTGAAAAATTTTTTTCTAGAAATGTTCCCTAAATTTAATTTTTATATTAGGAAGTAAAATATATTTGAGTATGTGTGTAGTGCCTAAGGCATCTGACTGCTAACCAGAAGGCTGATGGTTCAAACCCACCAGCCACTCCTCAGAAGGAAGACTGGGCTATATCTCCTTCCAGAGAGATACCACCTCGGAAACCTAAGGATGGGTCACTATGAGTCAGATCAACTCGAAGGCAGCGAGTTTGGTTTTTGTTTTGGTGTGAGTGTACATGAAAAAGTGAGAAAGGGCATGTGCAACTCTGTGAGTGAACATGTAGCCAAGATAAAGCATGCTGGTTAGACTAGGCATTAGAAGACTTCTCCAAGAAAGAACTTTCTAAAAAAAAAAAAAAAAAACCACTCTGGTGTCCTGTTTTTCTGTCCATGAAGTGTCCATCTATGATTTGTCAGGTAACATTTTTACTATATTAAAGAAAAGGAAATGGCCAATGCATGCCAAAACTTGAACTTCTTTGGCTCCTCCAAAGGCCCAGTTTCTGGTCTTAGAATTATCTATCAAGAACTGAGTGATCCAGCAGAGTATGTTTTCTAATCACCATCTCAAACTTTCTTCATCTAGGATATCATGATGGACTCTAAGCAACAGGGTAGGGAAGAAGCATAAAAGTGTCTCACCCAGATCCTCTCTGACTAAGCACTATTTCCATTTCTCAGTTGTCAAGCTGCCTGGTACTAACAGCTCTGTGGAAAACTGCCTTGAAACCATGTTATCTGGAGATGTGTAGGAGGTTACTCTACCTCTTCACTGACTTCTCAACTCCAGAGTAGCCAATGATTGACTCAGTAGTCAAAGTCCTTACCCCCTTGTCTCAAGGAGGCACTCTACTCTTTATTCTACTCTCTAGAGATGTCCTTTCCTGTTCTTCTTCCCCCTCCCCTTAGTCTTAGGCTAGACTTTACCTGAGATAACATTCTTACGAGATCCCTTCCCCTACCCTATCCTTCCCATGCTCCTTCCAGGGCCCTCATCAAATCACAGGCATCTGATTCACCATTTTAGGTTCGGCTTTTAGGGAGCCCAACCTAGGACAAAGAAGTTTCTTGGCATTCCAAATAAATCAATTAGAAGGAAGTATAAATAGTTTTTTTTTTCCCTGAATTATCTGATTTTTAGGATTAGCCAAGAAAGAATTTTTTATTTAGTTTTGGGTGAAACCAGAGAATGCCATGACTTCCTGTCCCTTCTTTTCAAACCGGACCATTAGAGAGAAAGCTTTCCTTCTGTCTGCAATAAACAGTGGAAAAAAGCAAGGCTCCTTCCCTCATAACGGCCCACTGGAGAGATTTTAAAAGAAATGATGGAGAGTTGATACACCAGCTTCCCAAGGCCCACCTACTAAGCAGCCAAGGGTGACTTCTGCTAAGCCTGATGAGATCTGCTCATGTACCTAAGGGAGCTTTGGTTCTCTACTAAACAGATCATTTAATTAAACAGATAGATATGTTGTTGTTGTTGTTGTTGTTTGCCATCGAGTCGGCCCCGACTCATAGCGACCCCTCCTTGGGTTTCCGAGGCAGTATCACTACGGAAGTAGGATTGCCCAACCTTCCTTCCGAGGAGTGGCTGGTGGGTTTGAACCGCCTGCAAATAGATATACATGGAGCCAATATCATGCACCCATGTGATGCCAATGAATGAGTAATTCAAGTCAAGAGAAGAGGCGGCAGTCAACTGACAATTTACCTGAAAGAATATTATCAAATAATAATAAAAGAGCTGTGATTACAATGTTATTGAATATGCTTCTCTTTTAACCATGACAATTCTATGGTTACTTTCAGAATAATTTGATAAATATTTCAAATACTTCAGTTCTATTTACGTGGTTATAGTAACTACAAAACTGAAAACTAAACACCAGGGAAGTATCTGAGACTCACTTGCCTATGGTGCCTTGTAGATATTTATTTAGTACTTGCTAGTAAGTATTTAAGGGAGCTCTGGTAGCATAGTGCCTAAGGCACTTGACTGCTAACCAGAAGGCTGGCGGTTCAAACCCACCAGCCACTGCTCAGAAGGAAGGTTGGGCAATCCTATTTCCGTAGTGATACTACCTCGGAAACCCAAGGAGGGGTCGCTATGAGTCAGGGCTGACTCGATGGCAAATAACAACAACAACAACAGTAAGTATTTAAAGAGCCATGGTGGTATAGTGCCTAAAGCATCTGACTGCTAACCAGAAGGTTGGTGGTTCAAATTCATCAGCTACTTTGCGGAACGAAGACTGGACAACCTACTTCCATAAAGGTTTACCACCTCAGAAACTCAAAGTGGGTCACTGTGAGTTGGAATCGACTGGATGGCAGTGAGGTTTTTTTTTTTTTTTTTTTTGGCGGGGGAGGGGGAAGGGGATTGTATTTGCTATCTGGATTAAGCCATGAGAGTATTTCATATTTTCCTCCACCTAAAGCTATTTCTTTATTCTTTACCTTTAAGTTGTGTTGCTGTCTAGGTTTTAGATATAAATCTTTCAGTAGACTTGAATATTAACTGTGGTTAAAATTACTTTCCCCCTAACCTGTTGTCTCAATTCTTCAGCTATGGCAATTGACAGGCCCCAATGCTACAACACAGCAAATCACTACAATTTTATTTACCTTTCAAGAGAAGTCAGAAGATTCATAAAGAATAGAATATATGTATTTTTCACTTCACTAGTATTCTATTACACCAGTAAGTGCAAAAATACTGAGTAAGAATTTTGTTTAGAAATAAAATGCTGTAACAAAAAATTGCTAAAAATTAAATTAAGAATGATTCATGTAAGAAACTCCTCTTAAAGAGAACTGAAAAATTCCAATGATTTTCCAAATCCTTTAGAAACTTTTTAAAGTAATGTAGAGATCAGTTAGCACTTGGATATATGTGAATAAACATGTGGATCACAGATGTTCTTTGGAAAGGAAAATCATTAGTTCTTTTAAAATGGCTAATAATGATAGCTAATTCCTAAACAATCACACTCATGCTGGTTTAACAAATATTTCAGAAAAAGAGCCCTGACTCATTCACAAATATTTTGCTCACATTGTCACTTCTGTGTCTCTATACTTACGAGACAGATCCTTATTTTTATTAATTGCCCATGACTAACATAACATTTCCAGTAGTTTGCTATTAACCTCTGCCCTTAAATAATACTTCTAATTCCTTATCTAAAATTAATTTGATGAATTGTAAGTTGAAACATGTCTCCGCTAGCCTTTCAAGACACACGATGATTTTTAAGAGACTGAAATCAGATGTTTCTTAGAAAAATATTTAATGGTGCAGCTGGGAACTGTTAGTTCTAGCAGGATATCCCAAAAAAACAAAAAAGGGGAGTGTGTGCTTCTCTTGATGTGCGTATCTCTTAAAAAATAATGGAAAACAGACATTTTGACATGCTAGTACTTTGTCGGCAGAGAAATAAATTGGCTCATTCCCAATTTACAAAGGAAAAAATAAGATTAATTTATTCTAGTGCTATTTAAATACTTTGGAATATTTTGACTATTTAGAATTCTGTCTATTGAGATTCTATAAATGACGACAATAATCTATGCTTTGTAGTAAGCAACTAAAAAAGCCAAACACTTTATAATTCCCTAATACCTTGTCTGGGTCAGTTTTCGTAAGTGTTATTGTTAGAGCAAATAAACTCAGGAAGACAGTGAACATGTTAGAGTATTTGTAATGTCTGACAAAAGTCATGATCTCCAAAGTATTCTACTGGTGTTTAAATGATAAAGATAGAGATGTATTTGGGAGAAGTGAGATGAGGAAGGAAATGTAGCGCTTTGTTGCAATGTGCACATAATTATGTTTTTCGGAGAGGTCTCTGGGACTTGAGATATTATAAAACCATATGTGAGAGGGGAACTACTCTCAAAATTAAATTAGATCACAACTTTGCTAAACAGTAGAACGTACGGGGAACTAACAGTCTTAAAATAATGAGACTGATTCAATCGCAGGAAACTAAAATGGTACAAGGAACAACCTAAACTTTAAACGTAATAAATTTGCCAAGGAGCATTACGCTGCATATAAAGAGGGCAAAATATAAACAGTAGCCACATATAAATAAATCAGTAAAACTTTCAGGATGTTACTACTTTTCAAACTGACAAAAGTTTAATTTGACACCTTCTGTTCTAAACCTTTTGTTTCTATTCAAAATCACGCCTTGAGCTGTTGCTATCAATCACAGCGCTCCCCCTATTACTTAAAAAAACTGGCATGGACCCTGAATAAGCTGAAAATGCCATGCAGATGAATTCTGAGATAATATGTTCAAACCTGTTATATACAACACAAATCCTGTAAAGTTATGTATTGTAAACCTACATTTATTGAAAACTAAAAGTCTTAAATCCATCTGCCACAAAGGAAATACTGTTATGTACTTTATAGTAACCAAGAACCATCTGCAAATGTCTTGCTACCGTAAGCAAGAAAATAGTGCAAAGATGCTAAACCTAAGACTGTAGGAGATAAATAACATTCTTTTTGGTTAGGGATCTATTAAAGAAATGTAATATTTGGGGAGGAAAAAGGAAGAAAGAAAATGCAGAGTGACTGACAAACAAGCACTAAAAAAATAAATGAATA